GAGGGGTGTTAATGTTGCAGTTTAAAAACTGTAGTGTAAAGCACCCTTCTGGCAAGACAGTGATGGAGTGAATGATGGTGAAAGTTTTTCTTTTTCGGGCCACCCTGCCTTGGTGGGAATCGGCCGGTGTGATAAAAAAAAAAAAAAAAAAAAAAAAAATAATATTATTATTATTATTAAACTATAATATAATAATGTACACTCATTACTTACCTTAAAATATCTGTAGTCTTAATGTAGAGTGAGAGGCGAGTAAATAAGATTAAATGAATAAATGAGAGGGGTAGAAGGTTGGCGAGTTATGTAAACAAACACTGTTGGTGGTGTTGTTGTTGCCACCCCGGACACGAATGGTTTCTATTCACTCTGTCAAGCCGACCAGAAAAACATCTCGTATTTGTTAATTTATATATTATATGTTATGTAGCATGTTCTTTATATAATTTTGAAAAAAAAATCATAGATGGATTAAACAAAATGTCTACATTAACGTTTTATAAACATTTAATGCGCCTCAGTGATTATTATTGTTATAATCATTATTAATTTGGCGTCTTCAAGACGAATTACACTCTTAACCCTTTCAAGGTCCGTCCCGTAGATCTATGGCTTCACGTTGAGTGTCCAAACCGTAGATCTATGCCAAAATTCTAGTGCCGTCAAATTTAGCGCGAAAGCGCTCATAGGCCTACATGTGAGAGAACGGGTCCGCGTGGTGGGTGTGTGCCATAAACAAAAAATCTACGCGCCTGCATAGCATTGTGGGAACGCCGGCTCAGTTACCCTTGTTCACCATGCCTCGTCGCAAGGCAGTCTCACTCCACGGAAAATTGGGACTCTCCTCGTCCTATCTGATTGTTCTGACACTGATGGAAGTGGAAATGAAGACAAGTTCTTTGGCTTTGATCAGTTAGTGACTGAAAGGAATGACCAGGATATCGATAACAGTGCAGAAAACCCTGACAATCCTCAACCTTCTACCTCTGGTGTGGGCACTCCTCAGTCACGGTCAGTTGTACCTCAACGCAAGAGAAAACTATTATTTTCGCGTGGCCAGGCCTCTGACTTCAGTAATGATGATGATAGTGACGTGGATTGTGATTTTATTGCTCTTGACGATCATTCGAGTAGTGAGCATGCGCTCGGGTAGTGTACCCTATGCTGTGCCCAGGGGACGGAGTACATCCCGGAGTATATCCTGTGGCCCTACACCAGGTATAGATAGTGATAGTGAGGATGATGTGGCTACACATGGCATGGATAGACCACAGGCATCAGTGGATGGTGGTAGTGGTGATGGTAGTGGCACGGCCATGCGTGACTCGCCAGCCCAGGCTGGGACCCACGCTGCTGACTCCTCAGTTCAAGGACAAAGCGGAGCGTCAGCCACCAGCCCACCACAACCCGCACAACCAGCCTATGATGTCCAGTATCCACCAGCAAACCGTATCTGGGATTGGCAGCAAAATCCCAATTTTCTTCCCAAGTCCCACCACTTTGATGACTCTCAAAGTGGAATTCTACCTACTTGTCCCCTTGGAACCATGGCCAATGAACTGGAATTCTTTGAATTATTTTTTGACCAGCCATTGTCAGGGAAAGCAATAAGGATTTTGAGTACACCATGGCAAATACGATCTATCACCGCAGTCAAGACCACACCGGTGGAAAGAGACGACTGTTGCAGAAATGTATTTGCTTTTTGCAACAATAATGCTTATGCTTTATGTCTATAAGCATAATATAAAAGCATACTGGTCCACAGATCGGCTAATTTCTACCCCGGTCTTCAGTGAAATCATCCCAGTGAACAGGTTTATCTTACTCTTACGTATGTTGCACTTCTCTGACAAAACCAGGCCTGACAGAAGTGACAGGCTATACAAGATTAGAAATGTTTTTATGTATCTCAAACAAAAGTTCCGCATGTACTTTTATCCATTCAAGAATCTTGTAATTGACGAGTCTTTGATTTTGTTCTATGGTAGGCTGTCATTCAAGCAGTATATACCAAGCAAGAGGAAACGCTTTGGTATAAAACTGTACTCTGTGACTGTGACAGTGGCCTGGTATTGGATATTGTTGTATACACGGGAAGTAAAACACTGAAAGATACCAAGATGTTATTGGGTATCTCAGGTGAAGTAGTGAGAAACATGATGGCACCTTATCTTGGTAAGGGGCATACATTATATACCAATAGCTGGTACACAAGCCCATTACTCTGTGATTTCTTGCGAGTGAACAAGACAGAAGTGTGTGGCACAGTGAGTTCTAATCGTAAACATGCCCAGGCTCAACGCAGGTGTTCGTGGGGATGACGTGTAGGTGTTTACTGCCAATGACATCATGGCATTACGGTGGCATGACAAACGAGATGTCACATTGTTGACAACCATTCACCGTAATGAAATGCAAGACAGTGGCAAAGTTGATCGAGTGACTAATGAACGTATTCGAAAACCAGTGACAGCGATTGGTTATACACAAAACATGCACTTGGTTGACAAATGTGACATGCAGATTGGTTTGTTGATTGTGTTCGTAAAAGTTACAAGTGGTACATGAAATTTTTCTTCAATCTCATGGACATTTCAATGCTCAATGCATATAATATGTACCAAATGAAGACTGGCAACAGACCACCGTATGGTGAGTTTTGTTTGTCTGTTGTCAGACACCTCATAATGAAGTACCAGGTAACAACACCTGCTACACAACAAGGTCCTCGAACTCCTCAGGATATACCCAAGCACTTGAGGAGGGAAGGTGATCATTTCATAATACAGCTTCCTTCAACTCAGAAGAGATGCATCGTCTGTGCACAAACAAAACGACGGCAACAAAGACGCAAAGACACTCGGTTTATGTGTGAGGAATGTAAGGTACCTCTGTGCATGGTGCCTTGTTTCAAGGAGTTCCACAAGCTCCAGCAGTTCTAAAACCATGTCCAGTGATTGTAAATATGTAAATATATGATAGAACATTAGTATTATACAAGATTTGTGCATGTTTATTGTAATAAACAACAGTGGTAAACAATAATATGATAAAAACTTTAGTGCGGTTATTGTGTTCAGTACAGCGAGTTTATATATATATATTATACATGTATACAGTATTGGTCTCTCAGGCCCTGATTGTTGGTAGGAAAAGAAACAAATTGGAAAAGAAAAGAAAAAACTACAAAAACTGCTAAATAAAGTAATGCGCGTATGTGGAAATCGTCGATGTTGCCGCCACCAGCTCATTTTGGACAAACTTCTCGGCACTATCTCGGTAAGTACTGATCAGAATTTTTTTTTTTGTCTTATTACCTTCACAAAAATATGCTCTTTAATTCTGTAAGAAAAAAAAATAATTTTTTTTTTCTCAAAATTTCTTGGACACTGGAGCACCACTTCAGATTTTAGCCTTGGACCCTGAAAGGGTTGATGAGTGGCTCTGAGACAGACAAGCAGACAGAAAGACAGACAGGTAGATAGAAAGACAGACATGGGTAGATAGAAAGACACACACAGGTAGACAGAAAGACACAAGTAGACAGAAGACAGACACACAGGTAGATAGAAAGACAGACACACAGGTAGACAAAGACAGACACACAGGTAGACAAACACATACAGGTAGACAGACAGATACAGATATACAGGCAGATAGATACAGACAGGTTTATGTGCAACACTGAAAACAAATAGAGAGTTCGAGAGTAAGAGCCTTTCTTGCCACAATCTCCAGTGCAAGATTCAGACTTCATCTTAGGGGCCATGGTGAAATTTACTGTCCAGTTAGTAGAGTTAATACAGTATGATGCTGCTGATAGGGCAGGGTTACTCAAACTGATGCTGCCTGCATGACACATTGCCGCCCCGAGTATTGTCAAATATTGTACAGAGGTATGCATTAGCCAGCCCAGCCCAGCTGCCATAAGTCGAGTGGACGTATGTCGAGCAGGTCGTAAGTCGGATGTTAGGTGTACTAATAATAATAGTAATAATTATAATAATGAGAGCTTCAGAATGCCGCCAACTAAGTGCACTGTATACCTCACTGTGGAAGCATTTTTGTCATGCTCTGCTTGCATTTTTACAGTTATTTTGCCAAATTTCTTTTTTTCTAACCATGGGTCCTATGTAAGTGCAAAGGACAGTGCTCAGAAGGAAAAGAGGATGATGTCTGAGGAATTAAAGCATGAAATCCTAGATAAACAAGCAAGGTGTGCGGGTTGTGGGTTCACGGGGAAGTGGGGCAAGCTCGCTCAGAACTTGGATGTTGGCTTGTAACTCAGCAAAAAATCGACTGAGTAACGGCTCGCAACTCGAAAAACTCTTACGTCGGGACCCTCGTAAGTCGAGGTTTCACTGTATTTGTATTATTTAAGCCTTTACAAAAATTTAACACTGAACAAATCATAAAAGGTTCTTTGATAATTTAACACAGCTGAACCTACTTCATGAAAGTAAAAGAAAATATACCTCGTTTACCAATAAATGAGCAATTAGTGCCACTTAACACATTAGTAGTCTGAAAGTACTTCCTGAATGTGAAAAATCTGCAAACTTTTTTTTACTGAGATTAAAACAGATTTGTAAAATGTATACAGTGGTACCTCAGTACTCAAACTTAATATGTTCCAGAAGGCTATTCAAGTCATGATCCATTTGAGTATCAAACGAATTCTTCCCAACCAATTTTCATTTTGGTTGGCTGTTATTACTAATCTTCGTAGGCCCCATGGTGACTTATTTATACAAATATAAAAAGACAAAAAAAAAAAAAAAAAAAAAAAAAAAAAAAAAAAAAAGTTTACAGCGAAGTTCTGGCAGGTCACATTTGTTGTTTGTTTGGTTGAGTGCCGAGCCTTGTTCGAGTGGGGAGCTGTTCGAGTGCCAAGGTTCCACTGTACCTCGTTTCTTGCAGCCTAAAATACTTACACTAAGGCAAAAAATAAAATTTCTTGCAAAGTTATAAATACTATTTTAAATACTGAAATTACTTACAATTTGAATGCCAACTTGATAAACAGTCTTGAATGAGAATCTCTTGCTGTGTTGCTCCAAAATCTTTTGAAGGTCACGACCAAATCGTTCCATTACCATAAATCTGTATCTTTCTTTGTTGTATTCAAATGAACCAGATCCTAAGTATTTTGGCATACCCAGTCGTTTCAGCTTTCTTTCTTTCTTCCACGTTTCAATATGTTCAGGCCTAGCAATTCGCATGTAACAGTGCATTTCAGCAAACAGAGGTCCATTCCTGTGTGGTTCTACTTTGATGACATAATCAGCAGAATTACTCACAGGCTTATCAATTTCACAAGAAGCCAAATAGATTTCTCCAAATCCACCAACACCTGAGAAAACATAAGAAAAAAAATTACAAAAGAAATGGGGTAACTATATGACATTTCTCTAATAGTTCATATGTTCATCTGCATGCCTTATCAAAGTCAAATATTCCTACATGTCAAATAATACAGTATTGTGCCTTTACCCAAAAGTACTATTTGTACAGTTCTATATCACTTTAAACTTTTCACTGTCCAGATCCCTGAAATTAATATTGCTCAGTGTCCACATTTATATAATATACAGATATAAAAGATAATAATATATAATATATAGATATAAAGAGAGAGGTTAAGAGAGTGGTGAAGCAATGTAAAAAGAGAGCAAATGAGAGAGTGGGTGAGATGTTATCAACAAATTTTGTTGAAAATAAAAAAGTTTTGGAGTGAGATTAACAAGTTAAGAAAGCCTAGAGAACAAATGGATTTGTCAGTTAAAAATAGGAGAGGAGGGTTATTAAATGGAGAGTTAGAGGTATTGGGAAGATGGAGGGAATATTTTGAGGAATTGTTAAATGTTGATGAAGATAGGGAAGCTGTGATTTCGTGTATAGGACAAGGAGGAATAACATCTTGTAGGAGTGAGGAAGAGCCAGTTGTGAGTGTGGGGGAAGTTCGTGAGGCAGTAGGTAAAATGAAAGGGGGTAAGGCAGCCGGGATTGATGGGATAAAGATAGAAATGTTAAAAGCAGGTGGGGATATAGTTTTGGAGTGCTTGGTGCAATTATTTAATAAATGTATGGAAGAGGGTAAGGTACCTAGGGATTGGCAGAGAGCATGCATAGTTCCTTTGTATAAAGGCAAAGGGGATAAAAGAGAGTGCAAAAATTATAGGGGGATAAGTCTGTGAGTATACCTGGTAAAGTGTATGGTAGAGTTATTATTGAAAGAATTAAGAGTAAGATGGAGAATAGGATAGCAGATGAACAAGGAGGCTTTAGGAAAGGTAGGGGGTGTGTGGACCAGGTGTTTACAGTGAAACATATAAGTGAACAGTATTTAGATAAGGCTAAAGAGGTCTTTGTGGCATTTATGGATTTGGAAAAGGCGTATGACAGGGTGGATAGGGGGGCAATGTGGCAGATGTTGCAAGTGTATGGTGTAGGAGGTAGGTTACTGAAAGCAGTGAAGAGTTTTTACGGGGATAGTGAGGCTCAAGTTAGAGTATGTAGGAAAGAGGAATTATTTCCAAGTAAAAGTAGGCCTTAGACAAGGATGTGTGATGTCACCGTGGTTGTTTAATATATTTATAGATGGGGTTGTAAGAGAAGTAAATGCGAGGGTCTTGGCAAGAGGCGTGGAGTTAAAAGATAAAGAATCACAAACAAAGTGGGAGTTGTCACAGCTGCTCTTTGCTGATGACACTGTGCTCTTGGGAGATTCTGAAGAGAAGTTGCAAAGATTGGTGGATGAATTTGGTAGGGTGTGCAAAAGAAGAAAATTAAAGGTGAATACAGGAAAGAGTAAGGCTATGAGGATAACAAAAAGATTAGGTGATGAAAGATTGAATATCAGATTGGAGGGAGAGAGTATGGAGGAGGTGAATGTATTCAGATATTTGGGAGTGGACGTGTCAGCGGATGGGTCTATGAAAGATGAGGTGAATCATAGAATTGATGAGGGGAAAAGAGTGAGTGGTGCACTTAGGAGTCTGTGGAGACAAAGAACTTTGTCCTTGGAGGCAAAGAGGGAAATGTATGAGAGTATAGTTTTACCAACGCTCTTATATGGGTGTGAAGCATGGGTGATGAATGTTGCAGCGAGGAGAAGGCTGGAGGCAGTGGAGATGTCATGTCTGAGGGCAATGTGTGGTGTTAATATAATGCAGAGAATTCGTAGTTTGGAAGTTAGGAGGAGGTGCGGGATTACCAAAACTGTTGTCCAGAGGGCTGAGGAAGGGTTGTTGAGGTGGTTCGGACATGTAGAGAGAATGGAGCGAAACAGAATGACTTGAAGAGTGTATCAGTCTGTAGTGGAAGGAAGGCGGGGTAGGGGTCGGCCTAGGAAAGGTTGGAGGGGGTAAAGGAGGTTTTGTGTGAGAGGGGCTTGGACTTCCAGCAGGCATGCGTGAGCGTGTTTGATAGGAGTGAATGGAGACAAATAGTTTTTAATACTTGACGTGCTGTTGGAGAGTGAGCAAAGTAACATTTATGAAGGGGTTCAGGGAAACCGGCAGGCCGGACTTGAGTCCTGGAGATGGGAAGTACAGTGCCTGCACTCTGAAGGAGGGGTGTTAATGTTGCAGTTTAAAAACTGTAGTGTAAAGCACCCTTCTGGCAAGACAGTGATGGAGTGAATGATGGTGAAAGTTTTTCTTTTTCGGGCCACCCTGCCTTGGTGGGAATCGGCCAGTGTGATAAAAAAAAAAATAAAAAAAAAAACAGATATAAAAAACTGAAATGGCCGAGAATCTTTGCCTGAAGGTAATAATGCAAAAACTGAAAAATTTGATGACAAACTTAAAAAAATTATGCATGTGAATGGTTACAGGTCTGGGTGTAATTTATGCAATGGCAATTTTGCTCAATTTAGTCCTATTATAAGCCAATTCCATTCCTCCATTCAAAGAAACCACCATTCAGCTACTACAGCTATACTATAAAGTGAATAGAAGTAGGTAATTTTGCCAACTTTACACAAAATTAAAAAAAAAAAAAAAATCCAGTTTAAAAACAGTCCAAAATAAATAATACAGACATTCCAGGCACAAACATCACTGTTCATTAATCACACCCCCAGGTTCTTCTATATTACGCTTACCTTCCATTTTGAATTCATAATCACACAAACTTAGAGATTTACCCTATTTCTCAGATAATAAAACAGAACAAGGAATGACTGGTCATGCTTTATGGTATCCCAATAATTGAACCAAACTTATTAAAAAAACATAAAACAGACCTGGGGGTATATTGGGGGCCTTAGCCATCCTCTGAAAAATCAGAAAATATTTAAAATTTCTGCTAATTAAGCCTAATTTTAAGCTACTTTCACTGCTGAACCCAACCAAAATCTTCTCTATTTCAGTAGTATATCTTCCATTCTATCAAATACCAAGATACAGTCAATAAAACCATAAAAAACATTCTAGAAAACACCTCAAAGTCAGGAGGAGCACGATTTACTCTTTATACTGTGCACACTCAGTGCATAGACCCATTCTTTCATATCTAGGCCAAAATTTACCATTCCCAGCTTATCTGAGGGATCTATGTGCAGGACTAGGCCCAGACTCATGGAACTCTGTGTTCATCAAGAACTGTTAGAAGCCCCTGTCACTTACCTTCAGCATTCTTTGGAGAGGGAGCATGGATACAGAGGTCATCCCACAAAAACAACAGACATAGCCCCACTCTACAAAGGTGGCAGTAAAGCAATTGCAAAAAAACTACAGACCGATAGCACTAACATCCTATATCGTAAAAATCTTTGAAAGGGTTTTAAGAAGCAAGATTGCCAACCACCTAGATACCTATCAATTACACAACCCAGGGTAACACGGGTTTAGAGCAAGTTGCTCCTGCCTGTCCCAGCTACTGGATCACTATGACAAGGTCCTGGATGCTGTAGAGGATAAACTGCAGACGTAGTATACACAGACTTTTGCAAAAGCCTTCGACAAGTCTGACCACGGTGTAATAGCGCACAAAATGCATGATAAAGGAATAACAGGGAAAGTTAGTTGATGGATCAATAACTTCCTGACAAATAGAACACAGAGTAATAGTAAACAGAGTAAAGTCCGAAGTAGCTATGGTGAAAAGCTCTGTTCCACAAGGCAGAGTACTCCTCCCATCCTATTCCTCATCCTCTTATGTGACACAGAGACACGCAAGCCATAGCTCTTTGTCTTCCTTTGTGGATGATGCCTGAATTGCCATGACAGTGTCCTCCATTGAAGACACTGCAAGACTCCAAGCAGACATCAAACAAATCTTCAAATGGGCCACTCAAACCAATATGAAGTTCAATGAAGAGAAATTTCAACTACTCAGATATGGAAATCTTGAGGAAATTAAAATTGTATCAGGGTACATGACAAATTCTAACCATACAATAGAGTGAAAAAGTATTGTGAAGGACCTGGGAGTGATAATGTCAGAGGATCTCGCCTTCAAAGACCACATTAATGTATTTACTGCATCTGCTAGGAAAATGACAGGATGGATAATGAGAACTTTCAAAACTAGGGACACCAAGCCCATGATGATTCTCTTCAATTCACTTGTTCTCTCTAGGCTGGAATACTGTTGTACATTAACTACCTCTTCAAGGCAGGTGAAATTGCTGACTTGAAGAATGTACAAAGAACTTTCACGGCACACGTAAGTACAATAAGCACCTAAATTACTGGGAACGGTTAAGTCCCTTGATTTGTATTCAATGTAACCCAGCCAAGAGATATACACAATAATATACACTTGGAAAATCCTAGAGGGATTGGTACCCAACTTGCAATCAAAAATCACTCCCCATGAAAGCAAAAGACTCGGCAAGAGATGCAACATTTCTCCAGTGAAAAGAAAGGGGCACCACAAGTACACTGAGAGATATCACAACAAGTGTCAGGGGGCCAAGACTATTCAACTGCCTCCCAGCATACACAAGGGGGATTACCAATAGAACCCTGGCCATCTTCAAGAAGGCACTGGACAGGCACCTAAAGTCAGTACCTGACCAGCCGGGCTGTGGTTCATATGTCAGTTTGCATGCCGCCAGTAGTAACAGCCTGGTTGATCAGACCCTGATCCACCACAAGGCCTGGTCTTAGATGAAGCCACAGGGGCGTTGACCCCCAAACCTTCTCCAGGTATACTCCAGGTATCAATAACATACATCTATGTGACAGCCCCTTCCCTTCTCAAGTATGAAATTTCCAAGCAGTAAAATACTGCAAGAGTCATGCTACTTAACAAGCATACAAGGAACCTAAATTCTTACTACTGGATTACTCATCAAGAAAATCTTATGACATGGTTACCTGGTATTTGTAATATGACTTGTAT